ATGTGTGTGTGTGTGTGTGTGTGTGTGTAAGTGGGTGGTCATAACAAATTTGATTCAATTTATCATGATTAAAAACTTTAGTGGGTAAAACCTATTGGAATAGGGGCAATGCATAATGATTCAAAATTGCAATTAATTAATATTTTGGGGGATGCACAATTTTTAATATCAAACGATTGTCTGAAATGTGCCTGTCAAAAGGTTGCTATATAAACTATTGTTGAACTGAATGGAATGGAAACATGTTAGGATCACCTATCACTATCTTTGCTCAAAAACTATCACTATCTTTGTCGGCAGCTAGCTCTCTGCAACTCTCACATGGTCGCCCACTGAAGCTAAGCAGGGCTGCGCCCGGTCAGTACCTGGATGGGAGACCACTTGGGAAAGCTAGGTTGCTGCCGGAAGTGGTGTTAGTGAGGCCAGCAGGGGGCGCCCAACCTGCGGTCTGTGTGGGCCCTAATGCCCCAGTATAGTGACGGGGACTCTATACTGCTCAGTGAGCGCCGTCTTTCGGATGAGACGTTAAACCGAGGTCCCGACTCTCTGTGGTCGCTAAAAATCCCAGGATGTCCTTCGAAAAAGAGTAGGGGTTTAACCCCGGCATCCTGGCCAAATCTGCCCACTGGCCTCTGTCCATCATGGCCTCCTAACCCTTCCCATATCATGATTGGCATATCATCACTCTGTCTCCTCTCCACCAATCAGCTGGTGTGTGGTGTGCGGTCTGGCGCAAAATGGCTGCCGTCGCGTCATCCAGGTGGATGCTGCACACTGGTGGTGGATGAGGAGATCCCCCCCCCCATTGTGTAAAGCGCTTTGAGTGCCCAGAAAAGCGCTATATAAATGTAACGAATTATTATTATTATTATTATTAAAAAAAAAAGGAAATAAACCGGACACAGTCTAATAAATGTAAAAAATAAAACATTTTATTTATTATTAATAAAAACATTATCATTAATTTCTATAAAAGTCTTTACAAGTCCATCTAAACAAACAAGTCAAGCTAGATGTTTTTACTGCAATGCACTTGAACACATTTATATAACTGCATGTGTTATAAATTAATTACCAATCTTATTTAGGAGAAATAAATGAAAAGACCTCAAGCCTTTTTTGCAATATTAACATGCAAATTTTAATTATTTATTTTCTGTTTTACAGCTTTTTATCTTTTGTAAAAAGGCAGATGCACAAAACTTCAAAAACGTGTCCATTAATAGACTAATGTAAGTCGATTTCTGCTGTATTGCATAGATTGCAAATATTTACCACTGAAAATGACATTAATGTTTTTCCCCATCTAGACAAGGCAGTGTTATTGCCGAAAGCACTGCAGAATATAACTATCCCAACAACAACACCCAAATACAGTTTCTAAATAACAATTTGGGGCAAACGCTTGAAAGAATATTAAATGACTCCGAATCATTTCAAAATCTCAGCGCAGCTCTCAATGCATCAATTGAGGTCACTCGAATAACCATGGGCAAAGTTGAAATATTGAGTAAGTTTATGTTTTATTTTGATCTCATATATACTTCAGTTAAAGGTGCAGTATGTAAGTGTGTCACCCAGTGGTTGAACTAGATATTGCATGCCTTGTTTAAAACTAGTGCAAGCGCAGGTTGCCAGGTTGACAGAAGTGAGCCTAACTACTATTAGGGTTGGGCGATGTCGACCAATTTGGCATTGTACAATGTCTAATGTGAAACATCGCGACGGACGATGGCCTTGTCGTCATAGGCAGCGGTGAATTATTTATTTATCATCTCAATAATGAATTAATTCATAAATTTATATTTGTAGCCTAATGTTTCAATTAACTGACTCGCATGGTCTTTGGCTTACCCATAACCAAATCATAAATAAAAAAAGATAAATTACACACAAATGACCACCTGTCCATCACTTTTTCTGCGGGACTCTAACATGAATAGGCAGAGTGATCTGTGTCATTATATTGGCATTGACTAACTTGTATTGCTGTGCAATTAATTAAAAATCCGGTTTTGATTTCGATTTTGGCTTCTAACGATTATGAAAAACATTTGACAGCACACATTTTTAAAGCAGACTTCAGCATTGTTTTTCAAACAAGTATGTTCACTTAGCATGTTTATTAAATATCTGCAAACATATTATGGTACTTTTATGCTTTAAAAACTTCAAAAACTTACACACAGCACCTTTAACGCGTTATTGTTCAAGAGACACAATGATTACAATACAATATTTCTCAAATATGGCTCCTGATGTATAATTCATATTTTTTCTTTGTTATGAGCAGATATTTCACAGGTAAAACCATTTGTGAACTGTCCAGTCAATCTTGAAAACTTAACGCAAGAGCTGGACAATGGAGTATGGGTGTGTGTGGGACCATGCAAAGCAAATCCAGACTTCTGCAATCATCATGGTGAATGCCAAAATGCAATAAATGGCGCAGTGTGCAAGTATGTTTTTCTCTGCAAATTGTAATAATTACAGTTCTTATCTGCATATTCTTCACAAAACATATTTAAGATTGTTGCATTTCGATTAAAAAGGTGGACTGATTTTAATGTTAATGAATTTTCCAACTTTCCTCTTCATTTGTCAAGCTGTACAAGCTCTTACTTTGAGAAGTACTATGGAGATCAGTGCGAGCAGTACAGCAGAGGTCCAGGTTTCTACGCTGTTCTCTTCGGCAGTTTAGCAGCTTTAGCTCTACTCATCATCATTACAGTTGTGATGGTTGTAGTTTTTCACAGAGCCAGAAGGTCAGTACATACAGTATCCACACTGTAAAAACAAATATCTATTAATTAACAGTTTCTGTATTTTGTGATTCACAAGTGTTTATTTACAGTTTTGAATTGCATTATGGGATGCTGATCTCTGCTCTGTCAACTTTTGATGTTGAAAATTTAACTCTATAGTTTAGCAAAGTGACTTTTATTGACATTTTAGTAGGGCTGTGCAGTTAATTCAAAATTCGGTTTGGGTTTTGATTTTGGCTTCTAACGATTATGAAAAAACATTAATGGAGATAAATGATCATTGCATCATATACCGCCCCTTTTCTAGTTGTGCACATTTGTTGCTCTGCAAAGCTCAGTTTCACCTGAACATCACTAAAAGCCTGTACTGTAAGGTAACTTTTGCAGCACATGATGCGCATCATTGATGTACATTCGCATCATTCATGTTTTTAAAAGCGCGAAAGAGATTGCATGCTCTTGTGTGTGTGCGTGCTTAGCCTCAGAGACGATCTAACGCCATCTTAATGCGAGTCCTTTAATGGTCAAAAACATGCATTTGTGTCAGAGTGCGCTGTTTAGTGATCATTTATATGAACCCTGATTTGTGTAATAAACAAACAAGTTTAGAATAAAAAAAGAGAAACCAGAACTGTACTGCTATTAAAGTGACAGCGCACAGTATTTCTGCTGCCGACTGTTTTTATCATTAATCAAACAACAAAAGGAGAAAATCCCTCACTGCTCTTGACTAAAGGACTGCTGTAGCTATAATTAAAGTTTTTTTCCTACAGTGAAGATGCTTAAAGCACACTAGTACATACTAGTATTCAGCTTAAAGTGACATTAAAAGGCTTAATTAGTGTAATTAGGCAAGTCATTGTATAACAGTAGTTTCTTCTGCAGACAATCAGAAATATATATATTGCACAAGGGGGCTAATAATATTGAGCTCTTAAAATAGGTCAGAAAACATTTAAACCTGCTTTTATTCTAGCTGAAATAAAACAAATAAGCCTTTCTCCTAAAGAAAAAAATATTAGAGGAAATACTGTGAAAAATTCCTCCGTTAAACATCAGTTGGAAAATATTTATATATAATAAAATTTAAAAAAATCACAGGAGGGCGAATAATTTTGACTTCAACTTTAATCGTATTGAATAATCGTGAGTACAATTATGACCAAAATAATCGTGATTATGATTTTTGCCATAATCGAGCAGCCCTACATTTTAGTACTTTACAATAATAATAGAAAAATAAGTTGTAAAACAACACACTGTAAAACCCAACAGTCAACTTTATCAAATAAAATGAGTGTAGTTAACTCAAAATGTACTGAAAGCTAATTCTACTCATTTAAAGAGTTTTGAACTCAGTGTTGAAGGTAATGAGTTAATTAAATACCTCATTACTTCGACTTAAATTGATTAAGTTCACAGTACTCTTATAGATTAGTTTCAGCACTCAAATAGTTTGTAGCAATCGGTTTCCTCAAACGGTTTGAGTTACCTTAACTAATTGGGTTTACAGTACCCAGTTTGTTTGAGTTCTCTTCATTTATTGGATTTTACAGTGCTCAAGTTGCTTTGTTGACTCAAATGGATTAAGTTCACAGTACTCATTAGGATTAGTTTTTGAACTTAAAGGGTTTGTTGCAATCAGTTTCCTCAAATTGTTTGAGTTGCCTTAACTTATTGCAACAAAAGCTCATTCTGAAAACGTAGCCCCGCGGACTATTTTGGAAACCGGGATTTGCAAGCGAACTAGTTTGTGACGGGATGAGAAAGCGGCGAAATCCAAAAACACGGTCAAAATTGGACGAGGGCTTTTGCTTTTCTATTCTGGACGGCTTTTGTAAATCGTCGCTTGGATTTAGGGAAGGAGGAGGAGGAGGGTGGCTGGCTCGGTCGATTAGCTGATTGGCCGGCCGCCCGGTCGATCGTTCAGTCATTCAGTCCATCAGTCGGACAGACGGTCGCTCGACAGCGGCCTCCGGCAGCCTTTCGCGTGAGAATAGCACGGGCGCTAACGGCATGCGTTCCCGAGAGATGTTCGAGACTCGAAAAAGCGCATGTTTCGTGAAAACAAAAACTGCACAAATATGTACCTCCCGGGATGGGAGCCCACGATGAGCCTGGGTTGACTTATTGGGTTTCACAGTGTAGAAAATGTACTGGCAGCTCAATACAAGGTGTTTGTAGCGTAATATATACAACACCAACCCAGACTATATATCACTGTAAACTATAAAAATATTAATAAAAGTCACTTTTTCAAACTTTTTAAGATTAAAAGCTATTGTAAGAAAGTTCAAGTCCCATACTGCCATTCATGAGTATAAATCAATAGGAAAAATAAAAACATGAATCCCAAAATACAGAAAACTGCTTATTTACAGATTTTATTCCAGTGCATTTCATTCACATAAACATGCAAACATCCCACAACTAATAACCCACTCCTCTAATTGCAGCAGGTCATTTAACATAAGGAGGTTGTCCATTTTTGATGATGACTTCTTTGACTTTACATCAAGAGGTATGATGTCTGTTTGCTGCTATATGCATGCCGTGTTAAATAGTAAAAATTAATACGGTGAGAAAGATAAAAATATATTATGAAAAATATTATTTTAGGACACACAGACAGAGGTTACTGGCATCAAAACATTTTAGCCACGGAAGATTCCGATTCTGGGACTTTCAGACCGTACCCTGAAAACACATCTGCACGGTAGGATGAGAAATTGTGCATGTCATTTAATAAATATGAGAAGAAAAAAAAACATTATCAAAGACCAGTGTGGGGAAAGTTACCTTTAAAAATGCATTACAATATTGAGTTACTTCCCGAAAAATTTAACTAGTTGGGTTACTTAGTTCCTTTTAATGGTAAGTAATGCATTATGTTACTATTGAGTTACTTGATCTTAAATAAGGTTGGATCTCTCAGAACTTGCAGTTTTTTTTAAATAGAGGTGCTCTGCAATGCACTGTACAACACCATACACCTTAAAAAAACACATTGAAAAAATGTATGTAGGATAGGGTGTCACGGTGGCGCAGTGGGTAGCACAACCGCCTCACAGCAAGAAGGCCGCTCATACGAGCCTCAGCTGGGCCAGCTGGCATTTCTGTGTGGAGTTTGCATGTTCTCCCCGTGTTGGTGTGGGTTTCCTCCAGGTGCTCCGGTTTTCCCCACAGTCCAAACACATGCGCTATAGGTGAATTACAAGCTAAATTGTCCGTAGTGTATGTGAGTGAATGAGAGTGTATGGATGTTTCTCACTAATGGGTTGCAGCTGGAAGGGCATCTGCTGTGTAAAACATATGCTGGATAAGTTGGCGGTTCATTCCGCTGTGGCGACCCCAGATTAATAAAGGAACTAAGCTGAAAAGAAAATGAATGAATGATGTAGGATAATGTTATCTTTTGAGAACTTCCTGACCTCCAGAGCTATACATGCCATACAGTAAATACAGATTATTGAAAGATTAAAGCCATGTTTTTGCTACTTTTGTACTTTCTGTTGTATTAGTTAAGTAAAAATCCCTGTCTAAAGAGACAATCCCCTTTTCTTCAGTGTGTTCAAAATAATGAGAATATGTCCATCACAGAAACATAAGCCTCTGACCTGCCATCTTCATTTCTGACTGTTCCCATGGGGAGCAAATTCTCTCATTGAGTGCATGATTTAACATGACTGTGTTTTTTTAAATTCAGCAATTAATTTTTTTGAAAGCTAATTAATTAAACTAAACAGCAACTAACAACTTTTTTAAGCAACTCAAATATTATTGCTTACTTTAAGAAATGCATTTATTTACTCGTTACTTATAAAAGTAATATTATTACATTACTTGTGATGCACTTCCTTCAACACTGTTTAAGACCTGAATCAGATTTCAAAATTAACTAGGACAAATGTTTTCTAACTGAGGTCCAATAATGTCCAGAGCGGCGCAAGATTATTTATACATTTTAATAAAAAATTGTATTTTCAGTTTTTTTTTTATATAAGCAAACATTATATTTGGATAAATAAAAAGATAATATATAAAAAAACTAACAAATAAATAATAAACTGGACAAAAATAGTTAAAGAAATAATGAAACAATAAAAAATAATAAAAAACTAAAATATTATATTATATTATTAATATAATAATATAAAACTATTTTTAAAATTCTTAAAAACAATTAAGATAAAAATAAATAAGGATAAATATTTAAAAATATTTGTACAAACTAAATTAATATGACGGCGTCACAGTGGCGAGTGGATAGCACGATCGCCTCACAGCAAGAAGGTCGCTGGTTCAAGCCTCGGCAGGGTCAGTTAGCATTTCTGTGTAGAGTTTGCATGTTCTCCCCATGATCGTGTGGGTTTCCTCCGGGTGCTCCGGTTTCTACCACAGTCCAAACACATGCAGTAAATGGGAATTGGGTAAGTTAAATTAGATGAGTGTGTATAGATGTTTCCCAGTAATGGGTTGCAGCTGAAAAAGAATCCACTGCATAAAGCATGTGCTGGATAATTTGGCAGTTCATTCCGCTGTGGCGACCCCAGATTAATAAAGCAACTTTTTGAATGAATGAATGAAATTAAAATGACTTGAATACAAACACACACAAAATAAGTTTCTACAATGAAAATTCCTGTAATAATGGAACCAATAGCAAATTAAAATGATCCAAATATTAGATTTAAGACCCATTCACAATATAATTTTTTTTATCATTGCTTGGTCCCCCTTGTGTGAACAGTCATATTATATAATAATGCTATTGATATTGACACTTGTGTATTTGTTTTTTGATTCATTATTTAATCTCAACTCTCTATTTTTTCCCTACAGATAAAGACCAGAGCAAATGAAGTATATGATATCTGAAGAAACAGAGATCACAGCTATACATATATATATATATATATATATATATATATATATATATATATATATATATATATATATATATATATATATATATATATATATATATATATATATATATATATATATATATATATATATATATATATATATATATATATATATATATATATATATATATATATATATATATATATATATATATATATATATATATGAAAAACATAGATAATAGATAGATAGAACAGAAAATAAATTAGTGGCAATTGTGATTCAGATGCAAGTTCTGATATTAGCTGTTATCATTAATAACATTGGAGCAGACATGTTTGCAACACCATGTATATAAATAATTTTATTAGGATAATATAATATGTTTGAATCTGTGTAATTTGAAAAGAGCTGCACAGAAAGATATTTGTGCACTTTTGCTTGTGAGTGTATATGTAATCGGGTAAACACTGGAAATTGGAAACTACAGCATTGTTTGATGGTAAAAAAAAATGTTTCAGCATCATGCAGACTGTATTCACAAGTCTGAAACACTTCTTACAGTTGTACCATGTTGAATCTGATTAATGATCTGTTTGGGGAAACAGCCAGGCTTGTTTTGAACTATGTTGGCCAATCAAGTCATGCTAATTACTAAACTAGATCTGATTTGAGTTTTTATTTAAGTGCAAATGTTGTTATTTATGCTAATGCTGAAACACCGCTACAAAATGTAAATGT